CCATGTCTTCATTTAGTCCAAGGTTGAGGTCACCGCCAAGAATGAGTGTGCAATGTAAGTGTTCAGAGAGTGCACTAAAAAAACCGTGAAAGAATGAGGGTTCATCAACATTTGGACCGTATATACTAACAATACATAGTCTTTTGTTCAATATTGATAGTTTAATAATTAGAAATCTACCCTCTGGATCTATAACTGTATCGAGTACTGTAAAATTAACATTTTTATGTATTAAAATTGCTACTCCCCGTTGTCTAGAATTATAACAGGCTGCAAACACGTTAGGAAACTCAGGTGTTTTAAGTTCGTTTAAACCTGTGACAGGTCTGTGAGTTTCTTGTAATAAAACAATATCTGCCTGTAGCTTTTTAAGCTGGTTAAATATCTTTAACCTCTTTCCTCTGGTGCCAGCTCCATTTACATTCCATGTGACAAACCTCAGCATGCCCATAATGTGTATGTCTAATGATGTACGCTGGGTGTTTCGTTTAGACAGGTGGAGAGAATGTAGAAACATCCCTTGTTTGTAAATAGAAAGAGAAAAAGAAGTGTGGTGAGAGACTCCATAAGTCTGACTATGTGTGTGAATATTCACTAATATGAACAAGCGTGGCTTGCTTATGTGTCCTGCAAGTCTGTGCGTGCTGTGAGGCTGTTGTGAATGTGCTGCCGTTGAGCTGATGTGTTTGCGTGATCGTGGTGTGAAAATATGGAGAAATAGAGGGTGTTGTTTGTAGGTGAGTGGGGAAGTAGGTGATCACAGCAGTGAAAGACAAGAGAAAGAAAGAAACCACATGAACTGTGAGCAACAACAACAAAAAAGAAACGAAACGGAAACATTCCAATTAAAGCAATGACGGAGGGTGACGGTGTTATATCTGCTATGACATCATATTGATATTACTAGGTTAAACCCATGTTAAAGGAGAGAGTGTGAATGAATAAGAAAATAGTGTAGCGGGTTCTTATCTGGAGTAGAGATGGACCGATCCGATATTACGTATCGGTATCGGTCCGATACTGACCTAAATTACTGGATCGGATATCGGAGAAAAATAAAAAATGTAATCCGATCCATTAAATATCACGAAAGCACCTCACAAAACTTGCAACAGGCCGTAACTCGCCTCAGAACGTTAGCACGTCGGAGCAGTATGCATCACGTGATAGAGCGGCTGTGGCATGCGGGACCTGTCGGTGGTCTGGATAGCATGTGGAGCTTCGCTAGCAACCTGGCATTTCATCTCCGACAAAGTTATCCCGAGAGAAGTAAAGCAAGTGTGTAAGTCCATCTCTGAATGTTTGTAAAGCATTCCTGCGTTAAGCTTAACGAGCGATATATGGAGCGACTGCCTCTTCTTGCTGCTACTTCAATCGTGAAACTGCTTAAATGATCAGCTGATCGGCTTTTCTGTCGCGAGTCCGTGTCTCTAGTTTGCTTTTGGCCCACTTTGCACCAGACAGAGGAAACCAGCGGCTGAACAACAGCAGCACGTTTAAGCTTGATCAGCTGTTGTTAGAATTTATTTAATATTACTTTCTACTCCAGGATCTTTTTCTACGTAGCTGACGCTGTAACTGTGCAGGGGCGGATCTAGCAAAGTTTAGCCAGGGGGGCCGATAGGGCATGAACAGGGAAAAGGGGGCACAAAGACATACTTTTCTTTCTTATTCTCATTTAAAATGTCGAGCTTTTAATTATTTAATATTTATCTGAATCTTACACCCAAAGTTTTAATTTGATGTAAAATGAATAGAAGTCCATTACTGTATATAGTAACTATTACGTCTAATATATATACCCTAGTAAGCTATAGTACTTTTTCCTTTGGGAAGGTACCATCTGTGCAGTCTGCAATTTTGTTGAAGAAAGATGTTGAATCTATTTAATATTTCTTGAAAAATAATTGATTTCTGTGCATTTTTTTCACACTGCATCAAATTAAGGTTGATTACGTCGATTAAGCATCATGAGGTGGAGCGTGAGGGGTGGTTCCCTATTTTTTATTTATTTATTTTTGTTGTTGCTGGGAGTTGGAACCCTATTAGTTAGGTTGCTTAATATTTATGCTAAGTATTCTTTAAAATACCAGAATAGGGAGGATGGTGTAGGTTTAAGTTTATTAGATTGATCAGTATTGCTGAACTATGAAATATTTTTTTTTGCATACAGGTATAACAGAATAGCTTTAGTGTAGTTGTTGTTTTAAACTTGAGTATGAACTTATACAAAATGCAGCAAGATATTTAAAAAACAGTTTTGTTGATTAAAAAACACTATATCGGATTCATATCGGTATCGGCAGATATCCAAATTTATGATATCGGTATCGGACATAAAAAAGTGGTATCGTGCCATCTCTAATCTGGAGTGCAGTCAATATAACCACGGTGTGGTGCCGGCTGTCCGTCCACGTAGAGCCGGTCCACGGCGATGACAGCACGGGAGCCTTTCTGGATGAAGCTACGTCAAACTGGGAACAGGACCTTGCGTCGTTCCAGGATCTCTTTGGGGAACTGGTCGTTCATGCTGAAGTCCGTTCCTTTCAGCTCTCTGCCGCGACTCTTCACCTGTTCCTTCTGTTTGAATTGACCGAATTTGGCCACAATAGGCCGTGGTCTCCTGGTCCGCGACCTCACGCCCCCCAAGCGATGTACTCTATCGAAGTCGATGTTCTTTACGGTGTCCTCCGGCAGCTTCAGGTGGATTTTGATGAAGCTTTTCACCGTTGCCTCTGCGTCCTCTCCGGCAGTTTCTGGAATACCAGAAAACACAAGATTATCTCTCATGCTACGGGCTTGTAGATCGATAACGGACTCTTATTTTTTTATTTTCAATGTTTAGCTGGGTCACGTTATCGGTGAGAGATTTGACCGACTCCCGTAGCGTGGCATTTTCAGCGGCAAGCGTTTCCACCTGCTGCTGGCTGAATTCCAGGGATTCTCTCAGAGATTTAAATTCCCGGTGTAAAATCTCCACCAGGGACAGCCTCGCATCGAAACTGGACAATCGCTTGTCGATTGACTCCAGGATGTCTGCGATGTCTTTGCCGGCAGGCGATGTTGTACCGGGGGAGTCTGCCGGGCGACATCTCTTCGATGACGGCGTCTCAATTTTGGTCGGGGAGGATGTACTCTGGGCCTTCTTCATGACTAAATCTTGAAAACAGCGGTCGATGTAATCTTGGAGAGCGTCTAAACTGTTGTTGTTAGTTATATGACAATTGATTAGTATATTTGGTAATACTGAAGCTTGGAAAACCTTTGTTAAACTCTATGCTACCATTCGCTTTTTTTCCGCCAAATCTCCGGCGTCTGATGTCACCTACAACATGGGTCGCTTACCTTTCTCGTCACTCTCGCTTACCTTACTCCGCCCTGCCGCCCTTACCTCACTCCTCCGCCCTTACCTTTTATAAGTATTTATAAAATAAGTTTTATAAATACTTATTTTCAATTAAAATATGAAATAAGTATTTATAAAACCTCTACTAACATCTAAATGCTTTTCTAAATACAAATAACATGTTATATATGAATCTATTATTTAAGAATAAAAATGTGTATATGCAGTTATAAATAACATATTAAGGAAGCACTTATCTTACTGGTGTTTAGGAGTGCGCCATTATTTTGACAGTTCTGAGCCTCTGGACACCTGTGGTATCAGTGTTACCTGTTTAATGTAAATACGTTTTATTACAGTATTGTTAATCAAAGGTCGGCACACCGTCTTTTTACACTGAAGTGTACGGGAACTAAATGTGTTAGATGCCACCACAAGAACAGCTTAAACATCACAAAAGTGTTGTGCAGTTTACATCACAGTGTCGGTTACACTGCTTCTTGCCACATGTAGCTCGTTTTGGAAATGCCCTTATGGGTCTGGAGGGCAGTCCTCCGCTCCAGACTGACATTGTTGTCTGGATTGGAGGACTTGTTGAAACATCTTGCTGTAACTAAGGCTGGGATTGATGTCGATATAAAACCTTCTGGTTACCAACAAAAGAACCATAGCAACTGTCCAGGCATGACGACGCTTGTCAGAAGTGTGCGTTTGTGATTTCTCAGAAAACACACCCTGCAGTTAGCATTAGTCAGTGTGTCTGAGGCTATGAAGAAAAGCACACAGTGTATGTTCACCTGGCCTCAGGCTATTGTTTCTTTCTACACAGTGATGATTCAGAGGACAGCAGTTAACACACAGCCATGCAAACGCTGCTTAGGATGGTAACCCTACTGCACAAGCTGTCAGGCTACACAGAGGAGAACTGACCGAATGACTGCAAGCTGCCATGTCCATACCCTGTCCTGGTACTTTAGTCATCATCGCCCTTCACTTAAGCCTACATGTTTACACCCAGAAATGAGAACTAAACACAAAGTAGCAGAGGCAGCTGAATTAACTTGTAGATATTAAATTAAATGGCCTGCATTTGTATAGCGCTTTACTCAGTCCCTTAGGACTGACCCAAAGCGCTTCACACTACATCCACCCATTCACACACCCATCCACACACTGGTGATGGCAGCTACATTGTAGCCACAGGCGCCCTGGGGCGCACTGACAGAGGCGAGGCTGCCGGACACTGGCGCCACCGTGCCCTCTGACCACCACCAGCAACTTAATTAAAAACCAAACTGTTGGAAAACTGAAATGCAGGTAATGGAGTCTGAACAATGATTGGTTTTAATGTTTCATCCTTTCAGCTCCAGTAGCTGCACAAACTTTACAAACAAAGAATGCATTTGCTACTTTTAGCTTTCACCTGAAGTCAGTTTTATTTATTACTTGATAATTAATAAATATGAATTATTATTATTAATAATAGTGTACAAATTAAATGAAAATGAGTAATGACTACTTTCATTGAGTGTGTGTCTGGCTCTGTGAGTGTGTGTGCTGATTCATGAGTGGAGGGAGTGGTGGTGCAGGGCGTGACTCTGACACACGCTGTGTCACACTATCCAGGTGAGAAATGGTTTTTAAGGCAGCAACACGAAGCAGTGCACACCTTTCCACAGCACAGCTGAACTCCCAGCACAGCAGCCTTCTGTATTTGTTTGCCGACAGCTGCTCCTATTTCTTCTGGACGTTTTAACAGGAGGAACACAACATGAGAATACTTTTACTACTGGCTGGTGAGATTTCCCATTTTCACTGCTGCTTTATTGCTATTATATTTATTGAGTTTGTGATGTTAGTTTGAGTTTTTCACGCCACATGTTAGCATTCCTAAACACCCTGAAATAGATAGCCTGCAGCTTTTTTATTTACTAGCTAAAGAGATGGAAGTAAGCTGCAGCAGTGAACGGTTCGATGGAGATGTTCACGCTGCTGCATGACAGTCTGTCTCTGAAATATGTGATGTTAGACATGTTGGTATCTGTCATGAAATCCTGTGAGAAGATACAAACACAGCCTATAACTACCGTGTAGAGCTGCAGTACATCTTTAAGAATAACCAGGTTAATGTGGAGATGCATTTATAATTTTACCTATTCTAAGTAAACCTTAATCAAACATCAATGTGCTTCATGTACGTGGTTTCATCTGACCAGCACACAGCTTTGGGTTGTTTCGTCCCTTAGAATTACCTTTGGCCTGAAAATAGACAGTACGACAGCTGCAGACCAACATCTCTGTTACTGCTTCAAAAGCAGCATGACACTCATTTAACAGTTTTATTGTAGGTTACTCTGTCTTTTAGATGTATTTTGAACAGCAGTTAATAATAAAGGAAGAAGTTTTTGAGAGCCTCAGAAAGCTTAGAGTTAGGTGTGTTGTATTCATACCTGTACACATTCTGCCCTCCTCCTGACAGCCTCAGCCATACTGTCACACGCCCAAAATGACTGCTCATGGGGGGCATGCTACCCACCCACAGATGACTTGCTCCATGGCAGGGCTCACCAACTTCAGGCTTCATCTACCTGTGGCCTCACTGGCTCAGAGGTCTTCTGTACCCCGTACCAACAGGTAAGAGCGTGCTTTCCTGTTTTATCTCTGTGAGCAAATGGAAAGTTTGGAAACTTATATCACCCTTTAACAAACAAGTGAGAACTTCCAGGCATATCTCTGCAGCTAAAGGGTTCTCCAGTTTAAGAGCGTTTCAGGTAAAATATCCAAAAATTCAGCTTTAGTTTTTGATTTAGAGAAAACAAAGATCGCACAGAAGAAGCAGCCGCTTCAATTCAACAATGTCATATGTGACATTATCGGATTGACAGAACAAAAGTGGAAACTCAAAGTGTCTCTGGCAGGGAACAGACATGTACACAAACTAAACCAGTGCAAACCAGAACTGCTGACTGATAGAAGAGGTCACAGACAGGAGGACAAATGAGATTCATGTGCAACCAGTGATGGGAGGGAAAGACAATAGCAACTGATCCAAAAACACAAAAACAGGAAGTAAAACCAAGTGAAAGACACAAAGTAAGAAAAAGAAAAGACAACACAGAGCGTGGGGATAAGGCAGCACAGGACACTGGCACTACAAACACAAAGATGAGAAAATATATACAAATAAACATAGAGACTTAGGATGTGTTGATGTTACTTTATCTTCATAGATCACAGTATGGGCAACGTTGGATTAGCCTCAGGGAGCTAATAACTGTCTTAGGCGTGGTCCTCTGTTCATCCATTTAAATGTATCCTTGTACTTCAGCGTTCACACAAAGACGCACACATGACGATGAAAGCCTTCGGCATCATCAGAGGAAACAAGTCCGATCTAGCCAGGAATGCCACTTTACTGCTGGAGGTGTCAAATGTTGTATCTAATGAAAAAGAGCTGCAGAAAAAGTGTCCAAGCTGAAGGTGCTCGAAGTAAGCAAAACTCTGTTCACTAAAAGAAGCAAATCCAGAATAAACATGCAAGTCCCCAAATTTAGCCCCGTAGACCAGGTGTAATCTAATGAAGGATGAGAAAAACTATGGTTTGTGAAAAGCCCGGCAGAGGGTGGACAGGAGTGTAAGACAAGGTGGAAGAGTGAAGAGGTGAGCACAGTGTGGCATTCAAAGACAGCGTATGAGCCGAAGTCGCTTCCATAACCAGCCATCAAAGAGGGAACTCTTCATATCCAACTCAATAATTCAGGCTCCTCATATTTGTTGCCCCAAAATACAAGAGATTAGGTAACCCTGGGCCTCTGTAAGGCTCAGCGGCACAGGAGGCTTCTTGTTCCAAATAACATCCTAAATAAGAAAAAAAGCGAGAAGAAGCAACATCAGGATAATTTAAACACATATGAAAAGCATGGAAACACATGAAGAGGGAACTGAAAAGATTAGAACAGACCAATGTTCAAAGACATATTTATTTATACATATTTACAAGAGCCATCTTTGCCTCATAAACGTGCCCCCAGACAATTGTAAAGCTGCCAGCAGAGTCCCAGGCTGTTTTAATGTGAATTAAGGGAATATTTCTATGAATAGGGGCAGCAGCATCTTTAAATTTGCTGGATAAGGAGGAAAGACACTTCCCAACCCATCTTAGACATACTGTCTACTTCTCCAAGACAGTTTCCTGCAAATAAATGATATGTGCATGAAGTATTAACACTGACATTCCTGCTCCCATATGTCCATCTTAAGTTTGCCAGTGAACATCTAAATGATGCTGTAGTCAGATGAAACCAAACTCAAGATGTGCTAAGAAAAACCCATTATGTCCACAGTCAAGCATAGAGGTGGAAACATGTGTTGGGGCTGTTTTTATGCTAATGGTAGAGAACAATGTCACTGGAGATGAGGTCGTGGATGAGTTCTCCAGTGACAATGACCCAAAACATCTGACCAAGGACACTAACAAGTGGCTAAGGAAGAAGAACATTATAGTTATTGTAATAAGATAAGATAAGATAACCTTTATTAGTCCCACACGTGGGAAATTTGTTTTGTCACAGCAGGAAGTGGACAGTGCAAAAGTTATGAGGCAAAAATTAGAATACAATAAGAATAAATACAGTACACAGCTGTACAGAATAGAATAAAATAAAATACTATATACAGTAGAATAAAATAAAATAAATATACAATAAGATAAAAATAGAATACAAATACAAATACTATATACAACTGAGTAAAAATACAACGATGACAGAAAGGATTATTGCACTTAGTATTATTGCACATGTGTGGATGTGTGTGCTTGATCAGTTAAAGTCTTTATTATGGAGTCTGACAGCAGTGGGGAGGAAAGACCTGCGAAATCTCTCCGTCCCACACCGTGGGTGCCGCAGTCTCCCACTGAAGGAGCTGCTCAGTGCTGTCACAGTCTGCTGCATGGGGTGGGAGATGTTGTCCATCAGGGATGACAGCTTAGCCGCCGTTCTCCTGTCACTCACCACCTCCACTGGGTCCAGAGGGCATCCTAGAACAGAGCTGGCCCTTCGGATCACCCTGTTCAGTCTCTTCCTGTCCCCAGCAGAGATGCTGCCGCCCCAGCAGACCACACCATAAAAGATAGCAGAAGCCACAACAGAGTCATAGAAGGTCTTCAGGAGTGGGCCCTCCACTCCAAACGACCTGAGTCTCCGCAGCAGGTACAGCCTGCTCTGCCCTTTCCTGTAGAGGGCGTCTGAGTTATGAGTCCAGTCTATTGTTCAGATGAACACCAAGGTACCTGTAGCTGTCCACAGCCTCAATGTCCATACCTTGGATGTTCAGTGGTTGCAGTGGAGAATGCTTGTGCCTGCGGAAGTCTACCACCAGTTCCTTGGTTTTACTGGCGTTGATCTGGAGGTAGTTCATAATATAAGGACCCAGTACACTCAGCGTTGCAGATTAGTGAATGTTTATTAGCACGGTGCTCTCCAGCCTTCTCCTGACTGCTTGCACTGCACGCTGTTCGCTCTCCTCCCTCTGTCCTCCCAGCGTGCTGCTTAAATCGAGAAGGCAGCATTAGAGTGCTGACTGCCAGCTGTGTCAGCCAGTCTCCCCTGGCACCGCCCCCTGATCCCACGGTCCCATAGCCAATCTCCAGACCTCGCGTCTATATAAAATCTTTAGAGGGAGTTGAACCTTCATTTGCCAAGCAGCAGCCAAGCGGCCTCTAAAGAAAAGATTCAGAGAGTTTCTGTAAAGGGACACCATCCCTCCTGTGTTAATAAATACTGACTGCTGAAATCAGTGGTGCGAGCTGTCAGTGAGAAAATGTTCAGCTATAAACAGTACATTCACAGTTTTTCATAAACTGCACATGTCAGCACTGTAAAAAATCCCAATACTCAATATTAAATAACATGTACAGTTTGCAAACCAATGCAACTGGATTTTGTTTGTTTTTTACAAAGTCCAGCATTCTTTGGATATATGGCTGGTTCTACAGATGACTGAGGATTTACTTCAATATAGTGAATAAACTGTGTTTACCAAGCTTTTACTCGGGCAAAGGTTCAGTGCTAGAACTATTAGAAATTCACTGGTACCTGCTCAGTGACCCAGCTCATGTGGCACAGCAGAGAATTCAGAGGCCAGTCCCTGGTCTCGAGTTCAGGGTCAGCTCAGTGGCACACTGTCCTTACATCACACATTACACTGAATCTCTTGTGGGAAAACAAAAGGTTTATTTATGTCTTTGTGTTTTTATTCTTTCAGAGGAAGATGAAATGTTGTCCGTGTGACTCCAGGAACCCAAACAGTCAGCTGGCCCACAGTGTCCAGGATGTTGTGTCCACCTCAGGGCCAGACAGATGGTGGCAGTCTAAGAAAGGTGGGGGGTGAAAGCAAGCAATCATAAAGAAGGACTCATGCATAATACAACTAATACACTATACTGACAAAAGTACTAATCTGCCTTCACATGCGTGTGAACTTGAGTGTTGGCCCATTCTTAATAAATAGGCCAGTGAAGATCCTCTGCACCAACCTAGCTCGCTCGTGTCTTTATGAGCAGTCATGATGGCAAAGGAACCGGCCATCCCCGAAGTGTTCCCTCAAAGTTGGGAGCATTGCCAGACGCAGAAGCGTGATTTGTCACTCCAGAGAACACTTCCACTGGTGGCGTGCTTGACACCACTGCATCCGACACTTTCTATGGTGCTCAGTGATGTCAGGCTTGGATGCAACTGCTCAGCCATGGAAACCACTCCACTCTCTATGCTCTCTTGAGCTAATGTGAAGGCTACGTGAAGTTTGGGGGTCTGTAGCAATTGACTCTGCAGCAATTTGGCAACCTCTGTGCACTATACTCCTCATGATTCACTCACCCCACTCTGTGATTTTACATGGTCTACACTGAGTGGTAATATAAGAGAAACTTTGACACAAACTCAACCACAAACAGTTGAGTGTGGAAAGGAAATTTCAGGTGTGGACTTGTTCTACAAGTAGCATACATCCCGGTATCATGCTGGAATTCACTGAGCTCCTGAACGCAACCCATTAATTCACAAATGTTTGTAGAGTGATCTCCATTACTAAGGGCTTGATTGCATCTTGATTGCCACTTCCATGACCAACGTGCACCTTGTGGCCGTCGAAGTGATTGAAACACTTGAACATCAGGTGGCTGTAGTTGGCTGTTGCTCAGGAGATACTCTACTAACTGCTCATCTACTAATCGGAGGGTTGGTGGTTCCATCCCTGGCTGCTCCAGTCTGCGTGCCAAATAAACTTGGGCAAGATACCAAGTACACCAAGCTGCTCCTTAATGCATCTATAGACAGAAGCCGTTCAGAAAAGGGTTACTCCTGGTAGGCTTTAATCAGGCTCCACCAGAGCACTTTGCTCTCAGACTGCAGACTTACTCGTGGTTACCAGGTTATTTATGAATCGAATGGGAGACAGACCCCACAGCTTTCAGGCCTGTATTCTTTGGAAGCAGTGACCAGTTCACTTACTGTGTGTTTTTAGACCGCTTTGCAGTTAATCATTAGATAACAGTGTGTTCTTCTACAGTGTGTTTTTTGTCCTACCTCCTTCTGTTTAACCTCAGTGGGTCATCGCTGGTTGTTAACTCCTTTTTAACAGTTTCTTTCTGTTAAAACACTGTTACCATGTGTTTGCTCATAGGGGGTCATCTTGGTGCTATAGAGTTAAAGTGCATTATATTTGAATTGAAAACTATGTCCCCTATGAAGCCTATTGCAGTTGCTATTGACTGGCAGGGCCCATGATCCCTATACAGGACCCAAAACACTTCGGGGCATTCCAGTTCATACCCTGTCAAGTGCCCACCCGTCTCCACCTCTCCCCCTGGATATCCAATCACATAAGATCCACCAATATTTAGCCA